AAATATAAGGCCAAAAAGTAAAACTTTCTTCCCCTTTTCGGGTTACCGCTGAAGGTGCACGGCGCCGGCATCGGCGACGGCATCGGCATCGGCGACGACGGCGACGACAGACGCAGGTGATGGCAATATGTACAGACACATCTGTGTCTGTACATAAAAAAAAATCCATACCTTTGTCCTGGCAGTCCCTCAGAATATTTGTTATTCAGGCATGAACCTTGGGCCTGCAACACAGCCTTGCTGGCAAAGTTCTCGGAGGCAATGAGTTCCAGACCACACATCTGGCGTCTTTTCTCTGCCTTAATCAGTGCATGCATCTCTGGGTCGTCCACAGACAGGTCATCCTGTAGATTCCAGCGCTCACCGGCACCATCAACTTCCATTTTCCTATATAATATTTAACAGAAATGATTAAAAACAAGACAGTTCTGGAGATAAACAAAGTAGTACACCACTTATCCTTACAATGTTAGAACATAAGTGAGTATAAATCTAACTTTATCCATAACCAAATTAATTCTTTTATGCCTCAAGTATTTAAATTTGAGATAAATTGAAAAATGAGTAAGAACTACCCATCTGGTTCTTCTCAGGGGTAGTGTTTTAAAGTTAAACTTACAGTACAGACAGCACTATAACTAAAAAACAAAGAAGTGAACAGTGGTCAACTACATGTACAAAGTATTAAGTCATAATAAAATTAAGCCAAGCTCCTTCAACCTTTTTCAAAGGGACATATCCCTATTTGAAGCTGGTTCATCCCAAGAAAAATCACTGAAATATGAGTACATGGCTTTTTATGCTATTGTCTTAAGCTGTGTGCATTGGTAAGCAAATTTTGGTTTAACGTGTAGGCCTCAAACAAACATCGTGCTGGATATTAGAATTATATCAATGTAGAACGCTAGAAACTAACGTAAATACATGGACGGTGTACGACCCCCCCCCCCCCCAAATACTAGCGACAACATTAATTAGACGTTTCCTACTTAATGACCGTAATAAGAATTAAAAAAGGAGAAAATGCTGTAAAAACAGAGTAAAATACCATCATGATTTAGACATATCCTGCTTGATTAAAACGCCAATTAACAAACATGTAGGACTGAATTTCCCGCCTCTAACAGCACTAGCTGGCACTGCAGATAAAGTTTACGAAGTGTCACTCACGACGTTTTCAATTTCTGTCCTAGACTAAATTCATATAAGCGGCGTAAGACAGATCGCCTCTTGCAATTTAGTTTGTAGTCTAGGTATTTCAAACTTTTAAATTTACTTACCCGTAGTATGTAAGGTTCTACACTCGCTGCACAAAGGTGAAAGCGGCAAAAGCCTTACTTTTTGCCTCGTGTTTACACGGTAAGAAATAGAAAGAGTGAAGGTCGAGCATTAGCATATATAACTTCTTTGACCAATCAAATCTAACTTCACATTGGACCAATTATAAGTGGAGTTTCATCAATGTGGATTATAATATAAGCACAATCAATCTCACCTACCACAATAAGTGTAATATTGACGTCCGCCACTTTAGTGTTNTCCTTACTGTCAGTCTTGCCAAGAAAGTTTAATGCACTTTTGGTACACCGTGTAGTACAATGTTACCTTGACTCCTACAGACAACAGACACCAATGCAAGTGGAAAAAAAATCATATTCACCCCCGCCCTGTATGTACCAGTAACTGGAGGGTAGACTCCGTCATTGCCTACTTATCGGGAGAGTCCATACGTAAGAGAAATAATAACATAGCTGGGAGTAATAACAGGGACAGCTTGTTACTTCATGTTATTTCGCGGCTGAGTCAGAAGATCGTGTTTCATCCAGTGGAGAAACGTAACCTTCAGATTTTATAGCGAACTTCAAAGAGGACTGCGAGAACAGATGCCAGGTCCAGAAAAAAAAAAAAGGAAAAAAAAAAAAAAAAAAAAAAAAAAAAAGATTTTCATGTGCGCTTTATGTGAATATTTGTAAACTCACCAAATACATATTTTATATAGTCTACAGCTTCAGCACAAATAAATTCAAAGTATATTTCTAAGGTCCTCAAAATAAATATTGGAGAACAGGTGATGTGATAAACATTTCACAAATAACACAATGAAACAAAACTTTAATTACATTAAAATATACTTATTATTATTATCAATTGGAATTAATGCACTTTAATACACATAGAAAATATTAGAGTCACTACCCCAAGAAAGTTGCAGGGTTATACATCACTTTTTCAGTGAAGTAAGAATAGAGTCAAAATTGCATCACACACAATCTACAGGTACATATATACACACATATAAGATATAAGTACAACATTTTTTAAATCACAGACAATCCTCTGGTTTGATGAAATAATAATTTGTGTTTCTTTCACCATTCACTTAGTGAAGATTGCTAGGAAAGTCACAGATGAATATTGATAAATATGATATCTTCCACAAATCTTTTTAACTCCCACTTTTAACTATTAAAAGTCACTATTGTCACTATCAGGATCTTGTTTTGGAGGTCCTCTACGAGGATTTCCTCCTCCGCCTAATCCAAATTCTTCATCATCAGTGTCTCCCATTTCCCCTCCATCAGGACCATCCATATCATCATCATCTTCAAGGTCATCAAGGCCATCTGAGTCATCTTCATCTTCAGAATCCTGCAGGTTAATGAAATATTATCAATATAAGACCAATGAATACAAGCAAATGCAAATGTTTCACACGTTTAACATGTACATTTTGAGTTTGTGGTTTTCCCCAACAGCTTTTCCATTTAAAAAAACAAAGCAGGGTGATAAATTTTCAATTTGAATAAGAAACCAACAACACGTACCTCGTCTTCATCCTCATCACTGAGATCTGCTCCCATTGACCCTGTCACCCTGGGGCGACCACTCCCCCCAGGACGTACCCCTTTGGAGCCACCTGCACTGCCTGAAATACACAAAAATGTTTTGTACTGGACAAAGTAAATCTATATGATTTGTATATGTAGTTACGCATAGTTAAATAATGTTTTTCAATATATTTACATGATGATGTGCTAATAAAAGCGTACATCAGAAACTACTTTAAATAAGCCATCAGTGCAAGTTTGGCCTTCTCAAGAAACTGACCAATAACCATGTCAGTCATTACCGTGCGTATGTGTAACATAGCAGTCCTTCCTTTTTATATATATTTAACAATTCTACTGTAGAGTGACTGACTAATTTTGGTGTTGAGAGATTCCAAATAAAGCTGTCCTTACCTTCCTTGGATCTCCCTGCTCCATGTCCTGGTCGCTCTGGTCTTTTGGGGACATCTTCATCAGTATCACTAGCACCATCATCATCTTGGACTAGGCCTAGTATTAAATAATGCATACTGTACGTTAGCTCAAACTTATTTCTCTGAAATTTGAACATTCTTTGCAAAGATGATACTTGACAATCTTGGTCACACAGAAGATAATTGAAGAACACTATACACAATCAATTTTGCGCTAACAGAAGATTTTAAGTAAATGCAACGCTTTTGAGAGTCTCATAGTCTTACCTTCGAAATCATCTTCATCAATGTCAAAACCACCTTCGTTTCTTTTCCTCTCTTCATTTTTCACTTTCTCTTGCATTTTCCTTAATGCTTCCTCAGATTCCTGAAAAAAAAGTAATATGTTTTATAGAAGTTTGAGCATGAATAGTACTATTTATTGACAAAAAGACTACCATAATTTAATTAGACAATAAGCTCATAGTGAACAACTGCTTTTTAAAAAATATATCTTTTTTCAATTGTCCCCAACACGGTATCCTATGATAATTAATCAAATTTCTTTTCTGTACCTACCAAAATACAAACTTTCTACAAATTAACTAGTAAAAATAAATCATTGTTCTTCTTTAAGATTACAACTTAAGTAAATCCTAGTTAGCATTTGGTAAAAATCATGATCATTAGTTAAGCCCAGCATTTTTCTAGTTGACAAAGCGTTACCTCAAACTTTTCTTGTTCTGCTCGGTTGTATTCCTCCAGTTTAGCCTCTAAGAAGGTCTGACACCTGAACTTCATCATATACTCCTGATACATTTTACGCAGGTCCTCCTCCAGCTTTTCATATTCATCCATGTAGGCAGGCCTGGAATTAATTGATTTTTGCACAAAATAGTGAATAATATATTTACAATACTCACATAAGCAGGATCAGAATAAAATGCCTTTTCTCAATACATACACCTTGTCTTATATCTTTAATGCCTGGGAATTCACCAACTTATCTTTTTATCGTTTGGAATAAGTTGAGTAAAATTGTCACTGGCTTGTATATAGTGATCACTTCAAGTCCCTCAATTAAATTTTAATATTTAATTAGTAATGAATATCCCCGGGGTTTTCAACTTCCACAGCATCAGTTAAACCCCCTACTTTTTTTTGTTTCTTTGTTTTACCTAACACTCTGCAATGTAGAAAGTCTCTTTGTGTTTCTCTCCAACTCATTCTTTTTCTTTTCAATTTTTGCTTCAAGATTTGCTTCATCAGATGCAACATTGTCTATCATCTGTTGGGTTTTTGTTATGTCTGCCTGTAAAAAAAAACAACAAAAAACTAATACAGGAAGGGAAATAACACAATACCTAATTACACAAATTGTCTTCTGGTATAATAGTTATTATTTTCCTAACTAACTAAAGTAAAGAAGCAAATGAAACCTACCTCTACAGCCTTGATGGATGCCTGCAGACCCTTTTCCACTTCATTTATTTCCAAAGGTCTGGCTATAACATTAGATCTCTGCTCCTGAAAAATAAAACATGTGGACAATGATATAATTGTAACAGTAGGTTATTCTTTTGCAAAACATTTATTTGACATTTGCTCATGATAAAGGTATGTAACATGTTGTGTATGAGTATGTACGAATATGTCAGTGATGAAAAAACTATGGCTCTCACTCTTAGATCAACTTCCTTTCCCAAAAGATCATACAACTTGGCCCCCTTCTCTGTGATGTCTGTGGCCAAGCGGCGAGCTTCTTTTAAATCAGCTATCTGCAACAAAATAAAATAAACATTAACATTTTTAGCTTTAAAAAATCATTACATAAGTGATTCTTTCCAGTCAAAAATTGATTGCTTATGTTTGAATAAGCTTTATTTTTAAAAAAATAATATAATAATATGTAATTACCTTTTACTATATGTACACTGTAAATAAATGTGTCATCAGAAAATTTAAATCTAAACTTCCTTGAGACATACACAGACTACTGGAAGAATCAATCACTTTATCGAATATATGGCGCAGAGTTACAATTTAATCTCATTCATTCATTCCTAGTTCAAACAAATGACGTATGATACAAACTGATTTGATCAATCTCAGAATCTATTTTTTTTTCATTCTTACCAGACTGCTTAGTTCAATGTCTTTTACATACCCTCGATGATATATCGAATGATAGGGCTGATGCATCATTATCATCTTCCTGGTCCTCTTTGTCTACCACATTGGTCTTCATGGCATTGTACAGCACTGCAGTCACCTTGAGAAGTTCCTTCACAGCATAGCCATCAGCCTGGTACAGCTTCTTGGTGTTCAGTTTTATATGTGCTTTTGTGGCCTAAAGGTACAATGAATGTTGAAGTGCAATGTAGTTATAATGGAGCAATCGCAGACTAAGATTAAGTTTCATGTTTATGTTTTAACTCAATATGCTTTAATAGGTGTAACTGTAAGTAGTCCATTTGGCTTCCATACTTTAAGTGTAATTGTTACTTTAAACAATGATACCATATTCACAATATCATAAGTTGAATGTGTTTTGTCCTCATTCATTGTTTTTTCAATGGTAAATTCATATTGCAAAGATATGGTTGTAGAAAATTTGTAATGCTCAGAAAGTGCCTTACCATAAACTGAGCCACGGACTTTATGAAGATAACCCTGTCTTGTTCTGTGTCTACATCTAATGGTAAATCTGCATTAGGATCGTACCTAAAAAACGATACATATCAACCTATAAGGAGTAAACATTTCACTGTTTTAAGCTAAGTCTAGCTCAACATCTAAACTGAATATATTTAAACAACAGAGCAGAAATACAATGCTAGTTAAAAGGTAAAAATACAAAGTAAAACGAAAAAGAATGCTTTATTTAAAATAATGTAGGAATTATTCCTATCGTATGGTAGTTAGGATTACTTTTACAAAATAACTACTTGTATCACTGCAAGTTTCAATTAACAACAAATTACCTTTTCACAAGCCAGATCAAAACTTCAGCAACAAGGGGGAAATTAGGTGAACGGAAATTCTCCATAGATATGAGACGAGGATACCCGAGGGCCCTCATCATTTCTGTGAAGTCTGAAAAGGATATTAATTTTTTTATCATTATTTTTATCAATATTGATGTTGTTTTCGATATTTATTATTAATTAGAAGTAGGATAAAATATCAAAAAACTGTTTTCTGTAAGCTTCAGGATAAGAAAATAATTAAAGGAATGCTGAATCTACATGTTATTCTTTCATTATATACCAGAGTTATTCTGCATAGCAACAAAATTGCAATTTTTAGTGTCTGAATCGACCGTCGCATATCAGGCCGCGAACATTTTCTATTGAGCGTGGTTAGTTACGCCGCTCAAATCTTGATTTATGAATAACAGCTCACTTAAAATATTATGCTTGCATAAACTAGATACGCTGTAATGTTGAAAAACAAACACAATAAGGTTATGTGTTTTATAAGTAATAAATACTTACTTCTAAGATCCCGATATGACATTTTGTTGGTGCTTGTATTTTGGAATTCACGCCTGCGTATTACACTTCCTGTATTATTGTGTGCCACTTGGGTGCGCCACCTACTAGAAGCGTGGTAACTTGCCAAGACGTACCTTCTCCAAACGTTTTATCAAACAGGTGGCTAAAAGGGACTTGGCTGAAACTTTTGAGTATACGGAGTAATGGAAACAAATTCTTTGAGACGTCTTTTAAGAAAATAAAATAAAAGTAAAATTGTTTTTAGGCTTTTTCAAAGACAAAAAAGAATTTTAAATGCCACTGGGGAAATAACAACAAAATTTTGATGAAATTTATTGAAATCGTTGCTTCTATTTTGAAAAGATAAAATAGAGACAATTTAAGAAATATTATGGATTTATTTCCTTAACAAGTGAATATCACAATGGTGTCTTCAATTGTGACAAATGACATCAAGGATTATGACCTTGGCTGCTAACATGTTCTGCCGCAGTTGAAAATGTGACATTTCTTAAAGAATTGAACCAACAGGTATACTATGAAATAACCTAAAACAAGATTCTGACTTTTTTATGCAAAATTTTTACAAAGTACTTAGTGACTTGACAAGAGAAAACAAGTGAACTATCTCCAAAATTGGCATAAATCCTCTATACGTTGAACATACAAAGCTAGATAAGTAAAACAAAAGATGCACCTACCGAAAGTATTACAATTACATATGCTTCAAATCCACATATCCAGAGAAATTAAAGGTAAAAATTAACACACTGACTTTCATAATTTGCATTCATGCTTATCACATGTTTACTTAAAGCTGTTTTTACTGATGACATACTGACAACTATGTACAAGTGAGCTGTTTTCAACAATAAAGAGAATAATACTGTCTTATATAAAAGTTATCTTATATACAACAAATATATATATATGTACAAGTATCACAGATAAAAAGAGATTTTCAGTACCAGCAAAATGACTTTTGTTAATTGCAAAATGGCAGTAGAATTAGCCTTTAAGCAAACTAGCACTTAACAGTCTTTTAGATTATCTCCTAAATCTACTACCACATTTCATAAATGGGACCTTTTATCTTGCAAAAACATTGGACTCTTTGTTACAATTCAGGCGCTGGCACTGGGATGTGGATCTGAGCCATTTTTGACATAAGATGATCAATTAGTCCAGCCTACAATAGAAAACAGTGAGAAAATAACAAAATTGAAAATAAAAACAACACTGAAAAAAAAAGATTATTAATAAATAAATAAAACTCATGGTTCCAAATTAAATACTCCACCCAGGTTTTTTTTATAATTGGTGAACCAAAAAGTAAATGCATTAAAGTTCAGATGTAATGGTTGTAATTTGTCCATGTGCTTGACGAAATACCTGGCCAAACAGCACACAGAAAGTGTTAAAACCAGCAACTTAACACAATGGAATTTATCATCTTCAAGTTATGAGTTTTTCAATCATCAAAAGTTACCTGTTTTGTGTGAATGGTCATCACTCCCTGTTTTGGTGAAGCTTTTGGTTTTATTTCCAGTACTGGTTGATCCTCCTTATTAAACCATTCTACATCTTTGTAGTGAAATGTAAGCATCATAGTCTGTAAGGGGAAAATGTGAAGTTACTCTCTGCATACTTTTGCATAAAATGTGGTTTCCTAATTTCTTTTACACTACATACCATGAAACGATACTGCTACCATACTGTATTGTTACATTTACACCTTATTTATGAATAAAATATACAAAGATGAAATGCTTTTTCTTCCTGTCAGAAACTCACCTTAGATTGCCCATGTATTACATGGACACCAATGTCATTGACTCCCACGTAAACTGGGACAGACTGTTTGGGAGACTGTAATTGCAAAAAGCTAAATATTTAAGAACTGAAAACTGTAGAATATACCTGTTATATTAAAATCAGAACAAGCTACTATGCCAAAAAAACACATTTTACTTGAAAAAAAAATGAATATGAATTTAAATCAATTTATCTAAAAAATCATATAAAATCTTCACCTTTGAGGGCATGGATGCTAAGAAAAATGCTGCCCCATACACTACAAGATTCCAACACACCATCAGAAACTGATACTGCAGGATCTATAAATAAATGTAAAATGGAAAAAATATAATTAAAAAACAGCCTCAAGACTTGTATCATCCAGAGTCAATCCATGCTGTAACAAGACAATATGTACGTCATGTTACAATTTAATATTACACATCTCTTCAACAATGTTAACCAGCATATAAGACACTGGAGGTAGTCCAATGGTACTTTCTTAAAAAGTAATCAGTGTACAATTTTCACAGAAACACTTTTAGTGATACACCACATACAAACCTGAGGAGGATGATCTTTGTCTGACATTTGTTGTGTAAAGTTCTTGTATTCTTTCTCTATTTTACTTGTCCAGCCAACCCCCTTGGACTTCAGCATAGGGGTTGGGACTAAATCCCATATGTTTGTTTCTCTGAAAGAAAAAAATTAACACCATTATCATATGAATGAACATTGTTTTGTGTCTGAAATATTGCACAATACCTCCATAGCAGTGCAAGCTTTGAAAATAATAATAATAGTTTTTCAATTAAATAGCAACCTGTGGATTGAATTTATACTTTTGATAAAATTTATTTAATGAAATTAAATACATAAAACAGCATTTTCAAATTAAACAAAGCATATACAACACAACAAAGTAGTAAAAAAAGATATTTGGTTTAATTGCTTATATTCATGCTTTCAAAATGGGACAGATATCTAAGTGATAGAACTGGGGGATTATGTGTTTGCCTGCAAGCTGTGTATTCTCTACGCTGACTGACTGTCATACTTACATCAAACCTTTTGATTTCTTCTGATCATAATCTCCAAACCACAGCTGCATTAGAATAGCACCCAGCATAAATGCATCTTGGTCTGCACAAGGATAGAGGGCCTTGATGTAGTTCCTATATGCCTCGTGAAAAAGGAGATTTACTACTGCTGGGTGGCGTACCTGCAAGGTGGACGAAAAGAGTGTAAAAATGACAATCTTGGCACAGAAAGATAACTTTTTATTCTGATTCAAATAAGAGATGACCCCAACTCATATAATTTTTAATTTTTTACTGTTACTCGCACACACTTTTCTTCAATGTACCTTCTTTTCATGTGCAATGCTAAGCCTGGCATCCCTCCTCCAGACTAGTTTAGGTGTTTCTTTACTTGGGTCACAGTCAGTTAACATGCCCACTATTTTCGCCCAGTCTTGTTGGTGCTCTACTGGCCGGTGCTCTTTCCGTAGTTGTAGTTCTGCAAATCATAAGCGTATACTTTTAAAATCTGAACATTAAATGTAAACTTCATCATAATTAAGTTGTCTGACCATAATTACTGACTCCTTTTAAATATTAATCTATCTAAAACTACCTAAATTGAAATATACATGCATCATAATTTGAAATAACTTATTTCAAAAAGTCCATCCTGTCACAAACATAACTTTGTGAGAAAGAGCTAAACAACTTACGTAAGTTAGCTGAACAGATCCATATTGTGAACATGTGGGCAGCACTTGCAGGGAATTCTAAATGCTAAAATTAAAGGAAAACAACTAGAAACAACTGTTTTTAAATCACAGATGCCAATCAAATACCATTTTCCCTCAAATCATAAACACTGCTTGAACATTTAAAAAGTTAGACTTCAAATGTTAAAATTTGCATCAGCAAAAATATGTTAAATTAAGAAAATTCAAATTATAACTTTTAAGTTTAAAAACAACATAAATACAGAGTGGAGAGAAGTCTCAGCAGTATCATATGAGGGCACTTATGGCCCACATTCTCTCTTAAGAAACCCGTAATTATACTAAGAGAACCTTACCCGTAACATCTGAAGATGTAGTTGGTGAACAGTGGTGTTAGCACCAGAGACCAGGTCCAGCCTGACCACCTTGTTATCCATTAGATGGACATCAATTTTTTCATACTACAATATAAAATACACATTTAGGCTACTTAAATCTACAATACTGCTCTCTCTTCCAGGCATTTCTGGAGTACTGCTGGTAATTTTTTTCTCTTAGCCAAATCACTACTTTTTCATCACTTTTTTCTCCAAATGGTTTAAATTTGACTAAAACAAGGCAAATCAACCATTTTTTTGTTTAGCCAACTTAAGTCAGTTTTAGCATTTGGCTAAATTGGCTAGTGTTAGCCCTACCCCGGCATTTCTCTATACGTATTCTTTATACATTTGATATCTTGAATAACCTACAAACACTTATATTGTCACAAAAAAATTGAGTAACTAATATGAGACATTCTTTAAAGCATCACAAACATACCTCTCTTCTTTTCATAACTTTCTTGAGAAGACTGGCTATCTCTTTGTGCTCTGGCTTTTCTGTATCCATACATAAATTCAGAGCAGTATTCCCATCTTTGTCAACTGCATGCTACAAATAAACCAACAAAAACATATGCATAAATGCTTTTTATTCTCTATTTAGCAGTATGTACTTGACCACTAAAATAAAATAAAAATTTAGCAACAAAGAAATACGTCATACTTCATCTGCAAAAAGTGAGAAATAGTTATTAAAGATAAGTTGAAAAATTTCTGCACATACAAATAACGAAGCATTAATAGGAATCATGAAAAAAAAGAAAAGAAAATTTTAACACTAATTTTTAACTAATAAAATATGAAAAGAAAAATGTTAATGGAAAGTTTCTGACAGCAGCAAAAATAGAAAGAAAAGATCTCTACCACGTCTATGTCTGGGTGATTAAGCAGCAGTTCAACAACATAAGGGTGTCCACACAGAGCAGCAAAATGAAGCGGAGTGGAACGTTTCTTGTTTGTTATATTTGGCGGGCAACCACCTTCTTCAAGAAGTACCTGGATAACCTCCAAATGCCCATACCTGAAAATTGAACAAGAACTGTAATGTCAGCAATTCCACATGATTATACAAGTTGGCTTTTTTTTCTTGCAGAACAATTTACAAATGTCACCTGATTTGTTATTTACAGCTTATCAGTGTTTTAATATAAAACAATGCGGAAATAATTTTCACTTTTAAATTGCATCTATGAGATAATGCATGCAGACCATCTTATAATATAAGAAGGAAAAATATACATTTAAATTTTCTTTACAATATAATATGATGCAGTATCCTTACCAAACAGCATAATGTATAGGTGTCCAAGAATTTCTGTCCTTTTGAGTCACAGGCTGCCCCTTGGCTATTAGGTCCCTTACTGCATCAGCATCCCCATCATAAGCTTTTTTATGTAGAGGAAATTCATAAAAGCTGACATCACTGAAAATGAATAAACACTTTACTATTATTTTAAAACACTAAACTATTTTAACATCATGCATTTTACTATATTTATCAAACAATATTACTTTTCTGCCATTTGTTTCAAAATCTACCCTAGCTGAAATTACAATGAAGACCCCTAATCAAATGTTTTAATAAATATGGGAATTTCTCTCATTTTTACCTTGAACTCCCTGAGCTGTCTACACGGATCCTGCCATAATCAGGTACTCCTACACCCCAGTACCTATTGATTGCAAAGGCATCAACCTAAAAAAGTAATAATATAAACTGTTATGATTAAATAAAAAAAAGAAGCTAGGTTTACACTATCTGTGTCTTTATGGATCATTTTTTAACATTTAAATTTCATTCTTTACTGGAGGGAAAACTTATACAAAACTTTCTGATATCGAAAAGAAAGTGTACAGCTCATTTCTCTGTACATATTTTGTTATGTAATTTTTTAAAGTTAGACTGAAAATAAAGCTCATTTTTACATTATAAGGGATTAAATAAAAGACACTCACACATATACAGATCAACAGTTGAAAACGTTCCGAAAGAAATCGTTTTTGACACTGGAATAACACAACATACCTTGTGCTTGTAAGGAAGACCAGACCCAAATAACGGGTTCATGACAACTATATCACATTTCTCAATTGCCATCATTTTAGCCAGGGCATCATTAGCATCCTGTATCCCAGTATTCTCCTGGAGGTTGATGCTGTCGTTACTGCGCGAGGAAGGCATAAAGGCAGGGTTGAACACTGACAAGCCTAGTCTCTGTTGGGCAGGCTTACGAAACAGTGCTTCTATGGCACCTGGCACCATCTGGCGCTCTTTAAGCCAACTAAAGAAGGGAAGAAGAATCATTTGGAGATTATTTTAAAATTTCAGGTATCAATACCATTGAACTTTGGTTTTCATTTCCTTTAACTATATATATATATATATATATATATATATATATATATATATATATATATATATATATATATATATATATATATATATATATATATATATATTATTCACATCAGAGGGTACAAATTCTTAACTGGAATTCACCATCACTTAAAGAAAGAACTCTGATAAAATATAAAAAAAGACCAAGCAACTGAAAACTGTGCTAACCTCTTACAGGGACTTACCTATCTAGCCTCTGAACCATGTGCCTTGTTGCTTTTGCATAGTTGATGCTATTGCTATTAAGAGAGCTGAGAACAAAGTCTAATGAATGAAACTGGGGGAAGGACACACTCTGGTTCATAAAAGCAGTGGTTGCTCTCTCTGCAAATGAAGTCAAACAATAATGTAAAAACAATATTTTCAAAAAAAATTTTTTTTCAAAGGCAAAATACAGAAAATTTTCTGCTAAACCGATCATTGTAAATTATCTTTACTTAATGAACGCTCTAATTCATATTCCCACTTCATCAGATTATATCACGAAAACAAAGTCACATAAAAACTGAAATAAATATTGCATTTGCTTACCTCTTCCATCCACAGGTACACAAAATAATGAAGCCCTCATAAATGATTCTCTATCACCAGATTCAAACTTTGTTGGAGGTACAAATAAACTTCTTAAACCTGTCGAAATATAAAACGTTTTTACTAATTTGAGCAATCTTATTATAATCATGATTAATAAATACAGAAAGTTTAGTTTCATGAACTGTTTTGCTAAGTATCATCACCAAAGAAATAAAATACAATATTAGATTGAAAACAATTTAGATCTTCATATACGTAAAGGTATCTTTCCATCTAAAAAAAACAATTTTCTTAATTAACAGAATTTTACAGCTGAAAAGTCACTCAGGCATCTCTTTCCTTTAGTCAGCAGTGTAAGCCATACCTCTAAGGCCTCCAGTATCCCCTCCTGTCAACTGGTGAACATATTTAATTATAACATCTGTTGGCTCCTCATCTTGGGGGTTGATGTTGACAACTACTTTTGGTAACTGCTTTATGGTTCTGGAGTTATCAGTACTGGATATTTTAACATCTGCCAGTAATATTTCAAACAGGCCTGATGTGGTAGCAGTTGGACGCTGTGCAAGAGGCTGAGCAAGGCGCAGCACTGCAATGATGGCATCCATTATTGTCCTACCTCCTGTAAACATAAGGGGTTGAATAGAAAATTAAAAAAAAAATTTAAAAAAACAGTGACAAAAAGAAAGAGAAAACAAATTTCCTGTCCTTATTTTCTTTTAAATCTGTCAAGAGATTCAAGGAAACACTTACGAAAAAAATAGTGAATTTATCATAAGAGATATTTACTACTGTATCTCCTTCATTTGGGACTTGAAAAGATTACACTAGTTCAATCCTAAATAGTATATTTTGTCTGTTCAGTTTTCCATTTGAATAGGTGTAAGTTGACAAAATAAATTTATACAATTAGATATATAAAAAAAGCGCCAGCTGAAAAAATATAACAACACTGATAGCACTATTTCTGTCAGAGTTCAAAACAGTCTCCACCCATTTCCTTGGCTTTTTACATTATGTACTGTACAGCATGTATACAAAACATATTCAAGGCGAAATTCAAATTTCATAAAAAGCAAGGCCAAATGTATAAAGACCAGTAAACATGTTTAAAACAGCACACACTGCAACTCGACAGCAAACGTATAGGTACATAATGTTCAACGTGAATGGCACAGATAAGATCTGTACCGTGGAAGTGTACTGTACTTTTCATTAACGCTAGTTGTATTTGGTTAGTGGGGTGTGGTCCCTTATATCTTTAAAACTGAATCAACAACATACAAACTGAAAACACTTGTAAAACTTGAATATATATGCTAACAATTCCATCACAAGTGAAGACAGAACAACCTACCTTTGTTTAAACATTATCAGTTCAATTGAAGCCCGTACCAACTCACAACTTAGCCACCGGCCATCTTGGCAGTATATAGGTCAAGGGGAGCAGTTCGGATTGTGAAACATGATTTACGCCGTGGCTCTAAATATTAAAAAAATGAACAACTCTTTTACAAAGTTTATTTTATTTTTATTGTAATTAATTTCAAAAGAAAATTATATGACACTGGATGTTGTTACAAAAGATTTATCAACAACTTACAATCGTGTGTTTTATAGCTTAATGATTACTCCTTTTCATAACTAGGTCAACTTCATCAGAATGTCAACAGAGCAGGAGAAGAGAGGCCAAGTATTCTGTAAGTTAAAATTTGTCTACTTATTTGCCACATTTTTTACCACTTAGCTTACAGTAATTAACTTGAGTATCTACTTTAAAATACTGAGTATACTGTTTGGATGTGCGTCTCTGCTAGCTTTCAAATAAGAAACTTGAAGTTGGTGATATACAGAGTGTATCGAAATCAAATGGATCTTGAAATACAGGTACACTGTATTTCACACAGGAATGTGTCTCAACTTTAGAGACATAGACATCCTGGAGTTGTTTAAGACAATCTTTAGAATGCTTACATTTGTGCAAATCTTTTTAAGGTGCGAGACAGTGGGTAGATGCCAGTTATTTTTATTGATTTTACTTCCCAAAGTGAAAATTAAGTGATGTACAGTACAGTAGTAATGCATTGGTGCATGGCAATTCTAGAGAAGCCTTTACCGTCCTCCAATCTGGATTATCTAGGCTATAGCTAAATGTAAGCAAATAAAAGCCCCCATATCAGTAACCTCCAGTGCATCAAAGTCCATATACTTATCGTTCATAGTTAAAACTTTACTAGAACCATTGCTTACTTAAGTGTTGAACACAGTGCATGTACAATAATAAGTAACAAGGGCGTCCTGAAGTAAGAAACTCATCAGTCCTTTAAGTGAAGTCAAAAGATATAATGTATATGCACATGCAATGAATTAACATACAACTATATGACAAAGGTGTGGACTCGTACGGAATGCTGAATACTTTTTATAACAGGATTATACCACAGTTATTTATAAGTATCTCTGCTGGGTAAGGAATTTTGATACACAGTTGTTTTATTATAACAAATTGTTGACATTAAGGCTTGCACTAGCAGTGGAAATCCCAACATTATTAATTTTTATAATTATATCATCTTGCCTATATGGTTTTGTGATAGGTTTGAAATTATTCTTTTTGGCTGAAGGAAATAGAAAATGATTATTTTTATTACTAAATATTGCCATTAGTGTGATTGAAAAAATATTAATCTTTTTGATTTAAATTACTGTCATAATTTGGAACTCTCCTCTCAGTATGTTCAGAATTCTGACAGCTGGTCATTGAGGCACAGGTAGCTGGTAATTTGAGAGGGAATATACAGTATATATGGGTAGTCTACTAGTACTTCCTGGTGAACATGCATGTAAGACCTAAAATCCTTTGAGTTAATTTCAAAAAGTTTTTCCTCACCGTACATCAGCTTGTAGCCAACTTGGTCAGAGGCCTTCATAAGACTGATGTGAGAAGATGTTGTTAGTCGCTGACCACTGTGTGGTACAGTGACCAGGACTGATGAAGGTTGATGAAGGCCTATGACTGAAATACAGGTCGAGTTCAAAAACAGCACGATCTGCATGACCACTGTTACAAAAGTTATGCTGTTTTTTTTTTTTTTTTTTTTTTTTTTTAATTTTCAGCATATCTGCAATACAAATAAGACATTAAATGGAAAACCAGGAGACCTGTTGTCTTCAAATCCACAGGAATGATCGGTATTACTAAAATATAGGTGGAGTTAAAAAACCAGCCTGAACGGGCTATTTTTCGTGAAATGATGCATTTTTTGGTCAAATCTTCATTTTTGGATTTTTCAAGGTGTGACTTTGAACTTCCATGGGCCTGAAGACCTTTGCTAGTCACATTTTGTAAATATCTGTGTTACCTGCACTGTCCTGCAGTACCTAATTGACAATGGGTAATGATTATGCTGTTAAGCATTATGTAATATTTCATCAGAATTGAAGAATAAACCTATTTTTGGCACTGTCAACATAGTGACCGTTTATTTCTGCATTGTGTCTATACATTTGACAGCTTTGAAGTGCACACAATACCACCCAGATAAAGAGATTTCTAATATAATCATGGCATGGTACTTATAAAATAATGTTTTTTTATCTCTGTACCATAAGTAGAGGCCAGTTGTACATACTTTTTAATCAAATGAATGTAGTGTGTCAGTTTATATCACCTAACATAATCTATTATCTTTGATAATCTGAACATTTTGTTTTTGACAGTGAAACAAAAGGGATATTCTCTTGCAGATATGGAGCAATATATACATGTTTATATATATAACTTGAGTATGCGGACTTCTTTTCTTCTTTTAATATGGGAAAATGAAACAGTCTACTAGTAAGTCTTAAGTGTCCTGGATATATACATGCTGGAAGATTGTACATGATACTTTTTGATATGGACATTTATATAAAATGAATGTGTTGTTTAAGACAAATATATATTCATATTATTATTAATATGAAAATATATTTATATTAATATATACTGTATGTTAATATTCATATTGGCCAGCATTAAGTGGTCAGCAATTATTTAATTTTTTATCTTTTCTTTTTGTTTTCAGGGGCAACTTAATGCAGGTGCACATTGCCATAGGGAATTGGCAATGTCTTCTGTGTTGAACACCCAGGTATTGGTTCCCAGCTTTAAATTACCAAAACTGCTTGCAAGAATGATGAGCAAGATCACTTAAATCACATGCAACAAACCATCACCAATCATAAAGACTGTGTGATTATGGGACCTACTTAAATCTGCTTATATTGAACTAATTTTAAATCAAGAAATACCAATCAGTGATTCATCCCAATGATAGTGTGTTGTGATTCGGTGCTTTGCTACCATCTTGGTATCCATACTTAACACAAGACTTCTTTTGAAGGTTTAACTGTTAACAGTCATATTGCACTATGAAAATTCAGTGACACTAAATTATAAAAGCTACCGAAATCCCTCTGCCTATGAAAGAATCATCTTTTTTGACATGTACTTTGAATCCTAATAATAGGGGAGGTCATCAGTTCTGAAATTCATGCATTGAAGCAAAATGAACCTGGACATTCTGCATGGAAGAAATGGTATCATGATCTAAATAAATAGAAAAGGATGACATTGATTGCATTTGATTGCACTTGATTGCATGGGTAAATTTTCCCAATGTTATGCCCCAGAGTTATTTTACTAGAGGAAAAGATCATATATATATTTTCACTGAATTGATGATTACCTTATTGGAAATATTTTGTATTTATCAAGATGTAACATGACCATTATGAGAATCATGTAGTCAAAAAGGATTGTGATTGAAACAACATTCAAGGTCATTAAAAGGAACTAGATTCGATGTATAGCTTGAAATCAAAGACGAGGATAAATGACATATAATCATGTTTAGTTTTGTACCAAATTCAGCATTAGAAGAATCCTTGCGAAAAAGAGAACTGGAAGAAAGTCTGCTAAAGGTGGAATTAGAAGAGTCTATTAGGGTGGAAAAAGACGCAGAAATAACTCCAATGGCGAAACACGCTTCACATCCAAATGACAAGCAAAAGGATGCCAAGAGACAGGTTTCTGTGTCAAATTCTACAGATGCTCAAGGAAATCCAAGTTCAACAGATCCATCGTTTCATTCCTCTCCTAATGAAGGGGACACATTTATGATAATTTGCAATGCATTCTGGCGGCCATATTTGTCCTTCAACCCGTTTAAGTATGGTGACACTCATTTGGTGGAGTTCAGTTCAATATGGGGAGATGAAAATAGTCTAAGAGAGGGGGTTACAGTTGTGTTCCAGGAGTGGATGATGCAAAATGCTTTGATAGAGATGTGCAAGCTGGTCTTGCGCAGTGGTCCGCTACGCATGCTGAAGGTGCTGATAGAGAATAAATATGTTGGTAAGTACTATAAAAATGTACATGAATTTTGCTAAATGACTTTAGAAAGTGCATTTGTTGGTGTTTGCATGTATCATTTTAAAAAATTGCTTATAGTTGTTAGACTTGTTACTAGTATGCTATTTTCCACTTTCTAACTACACCATAGCATTTTGTGGTGTCCTAGTGAAAAAAAGTCTTATATACTACATGTAAAAGAGGCATTCTGCACTCACAAAAATTGAGAATGATTACATCATGCCTTCTTCAGAAAGAAATACTGTTAATAGCTATGTCTTGTTGTAAAACATTCGTGCAAAATAGAATGGATTTACTTTTGATAATAAGTAGGTATATATAACAAGCAAACTTGTCCAAAGTCTGAGGCTGTATACAGTGTACATTGAGAGTGTAGCTTTCTTTTTTGGATTTCATACCATTTTTTTTTTTTTAATTTTGGAAACCTTTGTATTTTAAAATATATAGTTAGATTACTAGTACTGTAATCTTATAACTATGATAGTTTAAGTTAAGAGCTGGAATAAGCTCAAACATTGTGAAGTATTAGATAAGATTAGGACTGACATTTTATTTTTTTTTACCACTTTTCTTTAGTCTTCAGTCTATATGTAATCATGATAATGGCCCCCACTCCAAATGCCAATAAAATTGAAACAGAGCCAGTAAATATGATCTTGGTATCCTAAAGGGCTATGAGGATAAAGTGTGTTGTATCAACCGATAAATTTTTATTATATAAAATGTCAGATTTGGCTACCATCTTGATCAGTCAATTAATTTGACTGCTTTTATAGGAAAAAATCCTATTAATATCATACTAAATTGATACATTGCAGAAAAAGTTTTAAACTATTTTGGAAAACCTGTTAAATGTATATACTAGTAAGTGAAAACTGGTAAAAACGAAAATACTTGCCGTATGCCATCAAGATGCACTCAATAGCTGATTCAGTTTATCCCTTGACATGTCATTTTATTTTAGTTGTATAAAAAACTAGTCAAAGTGGTTTATATGCCTTACTGGGAGTCCAACCTCACTTAAATGTAAATTTAATATACTATAGTGTGGTTAAAAGAGACTTGGATTATAACAGGCAATCAAATCTAGGGGTCAGCACACAAATATCAGTCTTGTGGATGGCACCTTTTCATGAAGTCTTCCTAGTGTAAGTGTCTAGTCCAATTTTACTTTGGTTATCAAGTTTTTAAAAACATTTTTTTTTGGGGGGGTGGGGGGGGGGATCTTATGGGTTATTAACTACCGGAGGCTGAGTATGCATGAAAGTTAATTACGTCCTAGCTGATTTGAAAGGCGTGACAGACATTTAAGCTGCTTAAACAATTTAGAGGGAATTCCTGTGGAGTTAGACTGATCCTGTTGGATCCATCTAGGCATGGGAACCCAGTCCTAGTGAATTTTGATACATCTACCTAGGACAGAGGAAATATTTCCTCTGTCTTAGCATTAACTGATGAATATGATAGCAGAGCATTATAAGTGCACAGAGTGTGTTGTTGGTGAAACATGAAAATCTGCCGCTTATAAAAATCTGACTCCCCCAGCCAAAATTTCACAATGAAAATCTGACTCCCCCCATGAAATTTTGACTCCCCCCCCTCAAAAAAAAAAATAAAAAAAATATATATATATATATATATATATATAAATCTTATTTTATTTATTTTATTTGAGTATATGACTGTTATCTTGTAGCATGCGTAATGAACTTTTTGTTAGATTGCAGGTGAAAATTTTCATGAGAAAATATGAAAATTAAAAAAGTGTATTCTACCACCCAATGACTCACCTATTCAGAAGTTATTTATTTGATATTTGGTTATCATTTCAACATCTTTCCTTTTAGTATATTGTATGAAGAATATATTGAAAATATTTGAAAGTTTGATGGTAAAATATTTGGTGAAAGAAATTTAAAAAAAAAACACGATGCAGCAGCTTAGACTGAATGGTGATCAAACATGATACTTTAAGCTGAGATGGCTTGTACCATTCACAATGGCAAGATACCATAAAGAAAATTCAAATAAACAAAGGTCAGACATCTTTGCTGACCGATCCCCTTCTTCCCCCTAGTAATCTGAAACCCCTAGTAATCTGAAGCCGTTTTTTCATTTTTTTTCCTTCTGACTTGCAGCTGATGAAGGTCACTTGGTGACCAAAAAGTGCTTTCTGCAACCAGTCCACTATCTCCTTTCCCTGTAACAGACAGTGCCACTACATTGCCAGGTCTACCACAATCAGAGGCTAAACGCCTCAATCATATCATAATGAAAATCTGACTGGGGAGTCGCATTTTAGGGGAGTCAGATTTTCATGGTTCACCAGTCAGGGTATGCTTTCAAGTCACAACAATATTTGTCACAACTGTAGCAATGGCATACCCTCTACCAGACTAAGGGACCATTGGCAGACCCTTTTGTACTAACTGTGGATTGACCTATCTCCGAGTTGATTCTTGCTAAATGACAATCAACTTAAGCAGCTTAGATGTCTGTCGCACCTACTGAAGTTGCAAGGGGGTAATTAATTATCGTTTAGCAGCTTCAGTAGGCGTGCCAGACATCTAAGCCGCTTAAGCTAAAAGCAGTTTAGCAAGAAACCCCTCGAAGTGGATTGATCCTGTAGATTGTTTTTTTTTTTTTTATGTAATTTTTTTTTTTTTTTTTTTTTTGCTCGTAGTATCCAACTGCTGTTATTATAGATGGCATGATTTTAAAGCATACAAGAAATAACATGACACAATAGTTGATATTATTTGTACTTGAACTTGGGATTGGCATAAAGTTATTTCATGTGATATAAATGTAGGCACACAACTGTAGAGTTGACCTTTGTTCACTTCATCAAACAAGGTAATGAATGACTTGAAGCAAAATCCTGTAAGAAAAAAGTTGCATTGCATCTACCTTCTTTTTTTTTTTTTTTTTTTTTTGCCCTAGAACTTAATTGACCTATTGGGAAATTTTCTTATATGGATATATTTATTGCGTGAAAACAGTATAAACTTATCCAAGTGGTAATTGTTTCTGATAAACTTCTAATATTTGTGCATTTTTTTTTACCCTTAAAGAAAATATCTAGGATATTAAGAACTTGAACTAGCCATGTCCTTACATGCTCTCTATTGTCACAGTGCATGAATGGGTTGTTTACCTACGCTTCACCGAAGTTTTCATGGTAGAATAACAACTTCAAAATTCTTACCGTATCATGTAGCAATAACTAGTAAGTCATCCATTTGGTTTAATAATCACCATCTTTAAAAAAAAAAGACTAATAAACTGTTTCAAGTTAAAATGTAAAAGTCCTACATGTGAGCCTGCAACCATCGTAACCTTGCTCTGCTTATACAGGACCTAACCTTCATTGATGTGGCCCTTATGTAAGGTGTACAACTAAGTTCAAACTATGAAAGGAGGTCTTAGCAGCTAGACATAGTATTTCTCAAATCTCAACAAATTTAGGAGATACATCAGTTACTTAATAAGAGAAATACCCCAGAAATGTACATATTATTCAAAGACCAACATCTTTTTATGGCATTTAGCTGATGTCTGGTCGTACCGACCTGACTCTAGGTCAGTCCATTGTTGTCCTTAGTATGACCCAGTTTCATAATAATACCACCAAAATACAATGTCGTCTATCATTCAGTGCAGTACAGCTTGGAAAAGGGTATGAAAAGAAATGAGACGCCAGAAGTTTAATTCAGAGGCATTATACAACTAGGTGCTCCAGCTATGTAGGGTAGGCAGAGTATTAATTGACCGGTCCAGCGGAAGTTGGATTATATACTGGATATTTGTTGGGATTACTTAATGTGTACATTATGCTGTTTATACAGGTAAGATTTTTTAAAACTCTTTTAAGAAAGAAAATTAAAAGAATTTGAGAGATTTAAATGGATATACTTATGTATTAATATGCCAGTGACATATCTAACTATTATAGCATGTATAGCTGGTATTGCCTCTGAAACATAAACCGTCTTGTTTGACTTGATCAGTACATGTAGCTCAAGTAGCATTCAGTTTCTTATCCTTATATATGTTCTGAAATCTTAATTTCTTAAAATCAAAACATTCTAGCCACAATATTAAAAAGCAGGCTACTCTATAGCTCTATTCTATGCAGCAAAAACACAATAAATGCTATATAGAAATACAGTTTTTATTATTATAAACTAATTGTATCTGTATTTATGTATGATATTTTTTGCCCATTGAAAAGAATGAATAATTACTGTTAAAACATTGCTGTCGACATGTCAGCCTGTAGAGGTCAGGCCTGTAGGCAGAGATAGTTCTATGATGGGGGGGGGGAGGTGAAATGACCACCCTATTGGTCCATAAGCTAGGTTCCCTTTGGTCTAGGTTCTATGCCATTTTTCAAGTTGGGTCAGCCAAGTTAACAGAAAAGTCTGGTTTTTTAGACCCCCCCTCCTTTGAAATTTTCTGGCTATAGGCCTTAAGTGAAAAAAAATCTTATTAATGTGCATATGCAGGTGAATCAGATATGACCTTAGCTTTGTTTGTGCTAGGCATTTACTGACTGCGGTAGAGACAATTTGTATGACCTGTTGAAGTGTATGTACGTGACTAGAACAATAAACAATGACTAACTTAACCGCAGAAGTTTTGGTTTTTGGAAGTTGGCAAAAAGGAACATATTAATAATAGTATAAAGCAAAGAAATATTAAGGCCTCTTGATCATGTATTCTGGATGCTGATGGTGAATAAACTTGACTTTCTAAAGCAAAGCAATTTCTGTTTTATATGTACTCTATGCATATTAATGTTATTAATATTATGGGGTTATTTTCTTTATTAAAGGTTTGATTGCAAACTAAAGATTTGTGTGCTTAATTTGCTATTTCTTTGGTAATTATAATGAAAGTACATTCGACAAGCATGTATCTAGGTGAATGAACTGACAAACAACCAGAAATAGCCTTGTTTACACCTTGGACGGGTTCACAGACAGAATACAATATGTATATTGCAATAGTGATTCTGCAGGTATGCTATTTACCAGCATGTATAATGATAATAATTCATTTAATTCATATTGAACTGATCAAATGTTGGTAGAGTAAAAAGTCTACAAGAAAATAATTTGGCATACTTAGATCATATCCCTAAAGTATAGGGTATCATTACCGAGTGAGGTGTGTGTGTGTTGGGGGTAATATTAATATAATGCCCATCCTTTCTATTGTCCTCTGAATATATTGTCGTTACACATATCAGGATAAGTACGGAGGTATGGTTGTCATTTTATTGCTTATTCATGATCACCTCAAGGTACATTTCATATCCAGATTACATATGACCAGAAGTTGAAGGTTGAAATTAATTCTGTTCATGGGTTAGCCAGTTTGGGTCATGTGCTTAGACTTCATGCCTTACAATTGTTATATACTGATTGACTGACTTCTGGTGAAAAAGGAAACTGAATCTTGTGATACAGTGTCATGTGCATGTGATCATATTGCACAACAAAAAGATAAAGCAAAGCTGGGGATGGGGTTCAAGTGTAGGAGTTTAAATACACATTAAGTACATAAACAACTTTTTGTTGATGTTATCTGAGGACAAGTAATACCTGTTTGATTATACTTTATCAGAAAAATGCCATGAATTGATGTTGAAAACAATAATCAGATTTATTCTTTCCTGGCAAACCAGTTGCTGCCTGTAAACCGCACAGAATCTAGAAATTAAATTGAGAATTGAGTTTAAAGGCATGGTGTTATTAAAAAAAAAAATCCCTGTTATGGAAAATCCTACTTTGTAGGATGTAGTGAATCATCTTGAAAAACATGTTGTTATTGAAATCTTCAGTCACCCAGTCTTGTGTGTTGACCCATGTAATTACCAATAATGGTACCAATAAAGGTAGGGTACTTACAGTTTATTTGTAGCAGAATAGCTGGTGTGCAGCCCGCAAGGGTTTTTTAGAACTTTACAACTTACAGGTAAAAGCTATTTTGTAAATTTTACATATTTAAATAATCTTGGTGCTATTAGTGAAAGATCACCAAGAATCATTAAAGAAAACCTTTTGTGAAATAATAATTATCAGTCCTATTTTTCTTAAAGTAATAAAGATCCGTTAAAATACAGTGAGTAAAAGGTGCCTTTAGGCTTAGTAATATGGATTTATGCAGGTTAATTGCTGTAGAGACTGATAAAATAAAGTTTTCGCATTTAAAACTCCACTTCAAAGTGTGCACTGATGCTTATCCAGCTATATCTGCCACTGTTAAATGTGAACAGTAAGATACACTTAGTTTTAAATGGACAACTCTAGTATTAACATAGAGGGTTCCATTGGGGGGATAGTAATGACAGTTCACAGGGAAATAAAATCACAAATTCCCAAATCACAACTAATGAAACTTTATTCATATCTCCCTGATTATGCAAGTCAAAAAAACCTGAAAAGCACGAATCACTGGGTACAATGACTTAGTTTCACGAGGAGTGGAAAATTAAAAGCTGCATTTAAATATTATGGGAATGGGTTACCTCACGGGTCATGCTAAATAAAATAGACGTTTCATGCATCTTCCAAAATAAAAAGTGGCTTTCACAAGAAACAAAAATACCCAATGAGACCCTCAACATATGTGCCTTTCTTCCTGATTGTCAGGTAGTTAAACCTGCTTGGTTTTTTTTTTTTTTTTGAAATGGAAAATAGGGTAGTTGAAAGCAATGACTGTTTATCATCCTTCTTAATGTTCATGAATATGCTATTTGCATTAAGCAGTGTTCAGTTTGCATGCATCTGTGCAGTAATATTTTCGTACATGGATCACACAGTGGATGCTTCTTTGTACATGTGCATGTCGTTAGAAGAGTCTGGTTTGGATATGCTTCATTTTGTCTCATGAATTTGCTGTTAAAGATTTTATGTATAACATATTGACTTAGAAATAAGGTAAGATTTTTGAACAGTTATGTTAATGTTCTAGCAAACATTAAACGAGTTAAGACATTGAAAACCTACAAGCTCCATTTTTTTCAAGGTTATTTTTCATTAAAAAATATTCAGACCTTGGACTCTTAATACAAATGCATATATCATGGGTCCAAGCATAGACTAAGTAAAATAGACAGGTGATAGTTACAGTTGTAAGTATCCCATTTGTTTGCTATTAACATAAATCTGTGGGCCCATTTTCAGGATAACCTGTTGTCACACATAAAGGATCCTGTTTGGTGTTCTATATTCAATTAAGCAACACCATGAGATGTCTAGAAATAGTGCACAAATTGTGTAACTTTTTATGTACAGACACAGATGTGTCTGTACATATAGCCATCATCTGCGTCTGTCGTCGCCGTCGTCGCCGTGCACTTTTACCGATAACACGATAAGTGGAAAACCAANATAACATTTGATTGTCATTATGCTGTTAAACATTATGTAATGTTGCATCAAAATTTGAAGAAACTCCTATTTTGGGCACTGCTCCTATGATGACCATTTAAGGGAAATCATGTCACTTACTGTTATCAAACTTACAGGAAAGAAACATGGGTCTAACATACAGCTTCAATAGGCAACGCAGTCTGTTTGGTAAATTTTTGTGGCAATTTAACAGTTTTTTATGAAATTTTAATTTTTCACTTATTTGCATCTTTATTTTCTGTTCTTTGTCTGTACATTTGACAGCTTTGCTGCCTTGTATATAATTGAAATAGTTTTATTTTTCTTTCAGCATCAAAAATTGAGTGCATTTTTATGCACATTGAACATAAAAAAGTTAATTAAAATGTTAATTAATAGCATTCATCAACATTAAAATTTTCATATCTGAATTATATTTTGTATAGAAATCGATCAAACTTTTGAGGATGGACTGTCCATGCTGCATTTGGCCTGCATAGCTAGGAATTTTGAAGCTGTCCTCTATCTGGTTCATTCTGGGATTAACTTGAAGATACAGGATAAACACGGTAGGTGTCAGAGGAATATTATTTTATGTTTACCACTTCTTTATATTTTTGTACTTCTACATATTTTTGTTAAAATGTGAGAAGAACCAAACGTATGTTTAATATTCCTAACATACTTTATTTTTGTATATAAAAGCACATGCATTATGGGTTCAACATATAAACTTGTTGATTGACAAGTTGATAATATACATATAAATGTCAATGTATTCAATTGATGCTGTGTTCAGGTAAAAAAGTCTCTCGAGCTATCAACACAAATCTGATCATTAATATTTCATGTACATGCACATGATTTAAATGTGAATTCATATAATTTCACATAATGTGTTCAAGGTACCAGAATTACTTCTCTCTCTCTCTCTCTCTCTGTAAACACTTATTTCCTTGTTGATGGAAAAATTCTGTTTTGATTATTTGTCATTTGTCATTTAATGTGGGTTGTCATACCAAAATGGCAGGTCAGGTAGTCCTGTCATAAATTAATTTTGACAGAAATACTTTGACAAAAGGTAAAAATCTCAAGCATTTTTAACTGCCAATTACAATTTTCAAAAATCCAGGTAGGACTGCGGAACAGGTTTGCTTCTCCTCAAAAATCCGACGTCTGTTACCAAAAGGACTCGGGTCTTTGCAGAAGGAGATGCGTTTAAAGCCCAAGTTGCAGCCTAGCATGAAGGAGAAAGCAACCTTGTTTGAATTGTGCAAAAGCATCAGAAATTTTGAAGAGTTGCAGATAAAGCTTCAGGTAATATGTATAAGAATTATATGTATGATGCTTGTTCTTATTTGCATGGCTTACTGATTTAAGGTTTTAGCATCCAAGCACTGTGGAATTATGACAAAGTTTGGGTATTTTTAACATATTCTTGTACTGTGATTATATGTTTATGTAGCTTTTGGCCAAATCACATCTAAGTTCAAATCCTTGTCTTAAAATTTTTATTTTAAATTTTTTTCTGCATTCAGACCTCGTCTCAATAGTGTGCAAAATAAGGACTTTGAACATTCAGTTATGGTGGCAAATTGAATCTAAAAAAGTAGAGCTCCGAATACAATGTTGTATGCTATATCTTCATGACTTTCATGTAAAATCTTCTCCAGACCTTAGAGTTTGATGTTAATGAAGAACAGGACCAAAATGGTGATTTCCTTATCCATGTTGTTGCTGGTGAAGGTCTGCCCCTTTTACCTCTGCTGCTATCACTGGTTAGAATACAGGGTGCTGATGTGGAGAAGTGCAATAGCCAAGGAAAGACCCCCTTAATGATTGCGGCAGAAAGTGGAAACTCTGTACTTGTGGATGTGAGTTTCTGCATAATTTAAATAAAACTTCCTGAAAAATAGAAGTAATTATAGGAGAATTGAAAGTTCTTACTGCAGCCCATTATTAGAAAAGACAGATTGTGTTTTTGTTGTTTTTTTAACATGTTAAGCACTGAATGCAGGCTTGATAATTGTGCTTTTAGACAGCCTCAGTCCCTCCACTTGGGCATGTTAGCAGTTGTTCTCATCAGTTTTTGGATGCGATATGTGATATGTTTTTGAAGTTTATAGTTAGAGTGATTTCCCTTATTACAGATTTCAACCTATTTATTCTCAGTGGATGTTTCCACACATTTGGGTGTGCATGTGCATGCATGCAGACACACACACACATACACACACACACACACACACACACACACACCATCTGGCTGCTGTACATTTCCCACCAAAATATTTTTATGTCACACTTTTTAGGTTATGCTATGTATCCTTGGTGCTAATCCTAATACTCCAAATTCACTGAATGGTTGGCGTGCTCTACACTATGCAGCAAAAGAAAATCATGTGGATACTACAAAGTAGGTGGCTGGTTTAAAGGTGCACTCTGTGGGTTTGAAAATCCTCAAAATGCTTATTTTTGCCATCCACACCTTTATGTAAAACCTAACATACATCTTAAAAATGATTGAACCTTTAAAAAATTTTTTCTGGAGTGTACCTGATGTTGATATTTCCATTGGAGCTTGTAAGAAAATGGTTGCTGTTATAATGACTGGCCAGTCATTTAAAGCTGAGGTCAACCATTAAAAATTTTATCTAAAGTCAAATCCAAATACAGACTGGGATAGGTAAATGATTTGTGAGTACCATAGAATTGCTCAATTCTCCAAGAAAATCCATGTGGTGGGTAAATCTCATGGAGTGTACCTTTAAAATGTTACTGTGATGATTAAAAAAGTGTTGTGCAAGAAGTGATAGATTTTATTTTGTATTGTTTCTTTGAAGAATTTTGTGTATAGAAAAAATAAAGCATTTGTAAATCCTTGCTTATTAAGGGATGGACAGCTGTTTTATTCGACTTTCTTATCATACCTGAGTAAGTTTTACTTTTCAGAATTTGTTAACTATCCTATTACCAATGCCTTGTCATTTCTGTTGACATATACAAATGTGCATTTTACCCATTATGTTTCATCAGGCAGTACAATATTTTCATTTTATAGCTGCCTTATCAAGAGAGGTGCTGACTTTAACTTAGAGAATAATGATGGCAAACGTCCTGACGATGGGGCAGATGATGGTATCGATTGTAAAGAAGTTATCCAGTGTCAGAGAATACAACGAATTGAATATCTGACTGACCTGGTCAAAGAGGTATATGTGTGAATATGAATTTATTAACAAAGAAAGATTTACTGTGATGCGTCAGCAAATAAACATATATGGTTCCACTTTTCCTTCTTTTTAAACTTCTGTTGCATAACATTTTATATTTATGTATGGATGTACATTTTGTAGGTTGACACTGAATTATTATATTTCAGTTCTCGCATAATCCATTTATTGTAAATGCTGTATCAAAAATTAAAAAAAAAACTAAAAAATGAAGCTAAAAATGCTGTTTTTCCTTGGAGTACTGTGACATATGTGAATACAGGTATATTGCTTAATACTCTTACTGTACTGTTAATGAAATACAAAGTTTTAGACTTTCCAAGACTGACCAAAATGACACTGTACCATTCACCCCAACAGTGGTGTCATGCAACCAATTGGTCAGCTCACTTGCATGACTATAATGACAAGCACATTATGAACAAAATATAACAAAAAAAAAAAAAAAAATATATATATATATATATATATATATATATATATATATATATATATATATATATATATATATATATATATATATATTCTGCTTACTGTGTGTAATGATTCTTACAGGGTGAGCTGTTTCCTTGCAATGTTCGCTGGACGGACATGTTTGCTGTGGACCAGTTTGGAAGTACATTACTCATGACTGCTGCCGAATTTAACAGGTAGGATGGCAACCTGCTGATGTTGCATAAGAGCACATGTGTGTGTGTTTGTGCATGTGTGTTTTGGTGTGTTTGCGTGCATGCTAGTGTTTTATTGTATCACAAACGGACCTAGATAGAAGGACAAAGAAAAAAGACTGTCTCTGAATAGATAAGGAAACCAGTCTCAGTAAATGTGGAAACTAATAGAAAGACTGATTGAGATTAATGTTACTTGTGTCATAATTTTTGAAGCATTTTATTTTTATTTTTCATTTTAGATTAGAAAATCTCGAGGTACTCCTTGAAAGAGAAAATCTTGATGTTCTTCTTGAAAGAGAAAAATCCTCTATCAATGCCCAGCATGCCAAGGTAATTTTTTCCTAGGACACAATATGTCACATGCATGTACAATGTATGCTAATGTTCATTTGCCATGCGTCTATACATAGATGTAATTTTGTGTCATCATTACAATATTTATTCAAAAGCATTAGAAACCAGGTCAGAATCCGATATGGTTTTAAGATAAGTAATGCATGAAAGGGGGACAGATCATCCAGTTGTAGCACTTTTGACATGGATATTATATGATCTGGTCATAATAATAATATTTGATCTGGAAAAAAGATGTTGTTAACAATATTCTCATGTTACAAATTCTTGACATAATTCACATTGAATTTCAGAGTGGTTCCACAGCACTAGGCATTGCAGCCAAGGCAGGCCATTCAGAAGTGGTCAGAGCATTACTTAGGTGGGAGTCACATCCTATGAGAGATTCAGTTTTTATGTTTAATGATAAAAATAATTTATTGTAAAAAAGGTCAATTAAAAAAGATTTTTATGTCATATGCATCCCAAATATTCAATGAGAGTTTTAATGCCAAGGTTTAAACGGGGAAGCATTTTTTGCTGGAGGGATTGTGGATGCAAACCAATCTTCATTTATATTTATGTAACTGCAAGTACAGAAAGTTGTGCCAGGTTTTGTGTGGTATTTCCCCCGAGTTAAAATTTAGACAGAGAGTTGGCTGTTAGTGCCAGAAATATATTATTTTTCATTTTTTGCTCCAAAATCTGGTGTACAGTCCTTTTAAAAGCCTTACATACTTTCAGTCATGGGGCCAACCCTGCTATTCGGGATATAGAAGGTGCTCTGCCACTTCATCATGCGGTGACTCACAACCATATACATGTTGTGAACACATTGCTGCAGTATCAGGCAGCTTTTACGGTAAGCTACATGTCTAACAACTTTGAAGTAGAATGTCCTAAGCAATGCTTTGTGTTCCCTATGCTCCCTTTGAAAGTGAAAAGGATAAGATGATTGAGCACACACTATCCTATATCTTCTTTAATGAAAGAATAAAAAAAAGTTTTCTAGATCCTCATGATATATTTTAACATGCTCTTTTCTCATTATCAGAATTTGGCACTAGCAATAAAAATAGCCAAGCGTCCGGTCATTCAAGAAAGACTCAAAGATGCCTGGCAGAAGTAAGTGCACTATATTTTTAAACTCACTCTCTCTCTCTCTCTCTCACACACACACACACACACACACACACATGCAAACACACACGCACTAGCAATTGTATACTCATTTCTTAAATAAATATATAACGCTTGCCATTAGGTTATTTTTATTTATTTTTTTTCTTTTTAGGCGTCAACAAGAAATTGTGACTCCGGCATTATTCCAGTGTGCCTTGACTGGCAATGCTGAGCTGCTGTACAATACTCTGGAAGAAGGAGATGATGTGAACCCAAGTGTAAGCTTATTTCATAAAAAAATTGAAAACATGTTTGTCTTGCTCAATAATCAGTGAAATAAAGTTTGAAGGGTCTCAGCTTGAAAAAGAAGATCAAAATGTACATTAAACAATGTATATGTGTATTTGCAAAACTGCAAAAATTGCACATATACACCATAATCATATTGTTCTTAAACAACTGTGTAATCTCATATTATTGTTTTATATTTTTTTCCCTCAGAGTGCAGTTGGTAACACTCCATTGTTTCTTGCTGTTGAGAATGCAGGAGAAAACAGTTCAGATCATCTGGAGATTATAAAAATGCTACAGGAGGTGAGAGCCAATTTTTTGCAACCCTTTTTTCACAAAAAAATACCAGCATATTTTTTCATTATGAAAAGGCATTTTGTTGCTTTGTGACTTAGCATGTCTAAATCAATTTTGATACTTGCATGCTATGAAATAGTTGTTTTTATGATTTTAAGTTTACAGGAATTGGATACAGGTGTCAGGAGTTGTATCCATTATTAAATGCCAATGCTTATTTATTTTTATGTTTTTCTCACATGTTTTGTTTATAGTTTGGTGGAGATATAGGCAGGCCCCATCAAGGTACTGGGAACACCTTGTTCCATGCTGCCTGCAGCAGAGGAAATGTGCCCATAGTTCAATATCTGGCACAGTTTACTAAAAGTAGTGGGCCAAGAAATCGGAAAGTTTTTGATATTAATGCATTAAATTATGAGGGACAAACTGCTTTGGAAATAGCTGCAAAGAAAGGTATGTTTTATTTCAATTTATTTAATATTCATTCATTTATTTTTAGAGAAGGGGCTTCACATCAATAAGAAGATCACGAAAACTTGTTTTTATATAATACATTCTAATGATTATTGCCGGAAAGATAAAAATTGCATATTAAAGGTGTCTCTGAAAAACTTAATTTATGAAGAGATGATAATAAAATTTACAAGATTTTGAGAAAGGTTAAATAATTTGTTGGTTGTAGGTTTTAGAAAGATCGTAAAACTAGTCTTGGGCCTTGGAGCTACAACTGCACTAGTAGATGGGAAAGGTGATCTGCTCAAGTTCTCCGAGTACGAGGGTGTCCAAGTTTTAATCGAGTCTCAGAGACAAGCTCATACACGGCAAGTGATGCAATGTATGTATCAAAGAAAAGGATTGAAACCACTGAAGACAGTTTGGCAGGTATGAAATTTGCATAAACTTAATGAAATAGTGTAGTTCAAAATTTATGTGTAAAATATTTGCTCTTTTACTATTTTCTCAAAAAAATACTTTTATAACATAATTGTGATTTGCTTGCCTTAGTAATGACAACTTTGGCATTTTTATTTCAAACTACAGTGGTAATCTTTATAGTAAAAATTTTATACAATTTGACTTCAGCCCAAATTTGATCATAATTTGCGAGATTCTAATGGGGACACGCCCTTGATGGTGGCTGCTAGGAATGGAAAAGAAGATATCGTAAAATTTCTTTTAGAATCTGCAGTTTATGACTTGAGTCAAGATGATCTTGAAAGGAGGTTGGTTATGTCACTTGTAGACTGCTAGTACACTAGCTGGTATACAATTTGATAATACTTCATGTGATGATACTATTTCCAGTACTATAAGTAATGCTTTAGCTTTAATAAGGAAAACCTTACAAAACAAAAATTTGATTCAGATAACAAGGGTATGAAATGTTTACCTACTGCATTGATTATTTTAAATATGTACAATTCTGTTTTTCTTTCTGCTGATCTTTGACTTCAATCCCTATAGGTCCACTTCCTCCACTGATTCTGGCACTGTTCAGGATGCCTCGTCCAAGCCAAAGATGGGTAATTATTTCCAGTTTCATTCTAAGTTTGAATAGTGCTTGTACAGTTATCAAGTATTTTAAAGATAAACCAGGTGTAAATACCCTGCAGAGTTACAAGTCAGAAAAGCTCAAGTCTTGTAAGGTGCAGGAAATGCCCTCCCCCTGAAGTCTCGATAAGACTAAAATTATCATTTCTAAAAATGTTTTTTTTAATAAAATGATCGTATTTACATAATGCAGTCAGTGAGTAACAAAGGGATGTCTTCCTTTTCTTTTCATTCAGTCTGTTATTTTCAGAGAAACACTCTTTGACTTCTTCAAGAGTATGCCATCTTGAATAAATCCAACCATTCACTTATGTTACAGATGTATCTAGTCCAGATGAGAGTGAAGTGGAGACAAGTACCAAAGTAGCTGCCACCCCAGATATGACTCCAGGCTGGAGCAGCGACATAGAGGGCAGACGGCCATCATCCAGAGCTAGTAGTATGCTTATTTGATGCTTCTTTGGTTCACATGCATACACCCCAAATTCAGGAATTTGCAAGAGGAGGGGGGAGGGCAAGGATAAGAAAATTTGCCATTTAGCAAAGCAGTGGCAAATATAAAATAGTAGGCATAAAATATTTTACTAATTAAGGCTCAGGAAGGGAAATTCCCTGGTTTTTGTCTTTTTAAGCTGATTAACCAATTTTTAGTGAGGGGGAGGGGGGAGGCAGGGAGAAAAGGGCTAGTATGTACCTGCTGTACCCTCAGGATCTGCCATTACAAAGGCATGGACCCATGTGCTCATTCCCAAGTTTGTACATACACACACACTTAGTTCTTACAAAGTATCACTGACATGATAATCACAATGCTGAGCTACTTCCCTCAAGTAAAGCTCAGTTATTAATAGCATGTATTAATGTCAGTTACTTTTTCAGGCATAGCCTCTCCTGGCTGGTTGACTGATACGGATGCAACAATAAAGACACGCAAAGTACACAAGCGTTTCCACCTTCCGTCATTTCCGACCATGTCCAGTTCTATAAGAAAACTCTCTTGGAGACAACCAGATGCTGAAAGGTGAGTCATACTTGAGATGTATTGATTTTGGTGAAAGTTCATCTCTGGAATCAAGTTTTACATTAAGAAATTTATTGTAAAAAGATCTGCAAACAAGTGAATTTTGAGTAATATGCTTATGTAGACAAACTGTCTAATTTCAGTCAAGTGAGAAAAAGACTATTTGCTCAAGAAGCAAGCTCTGACTATGAATTTATCAAAGAACCTGATCCAAGAAAAGACGATGATGGTGCTAGTCTAGCAGGTGGCATGGTGGGAAACTTTGTAGCTGGGTTGCAGAATGCTGAAGGGACTATATTTAGAGAAGGTGATTTATTCACTTGAAAACCACAGGCATCAGATTTGTAGACTTGCTGTAAAATTCGAAAGTGGTTCAGTTTGCCATTTGGTATTTATGCATTTTACTCTGAAGTTCGGTTTCATGCCTTTAATCTAGTATTCATACCAATATTCCATAAATATTGTGACCTTTTGTATTATATATTATTGTTTAATTACAGTAAAGGCTTAACCAATTTGATAAAATGACCAAAATAATTTCTCCAAAAAGGACTGTTTTACCATCCTAGATCTGTTTCTTGTAATATCCTAGTAGAGTGTGCCATGTGAACATAATCTGATTCTTTATTCAGATGGAAAGGTCAGCCATGTTCTTGCTATCAATCCGCGAGATGGCTGCACTGCATTGCACCGGGCAATAGAAGGAGGAGACAATTATTCCATAGCATTGTTATTGGTCGAAGCAGATCTCAATTGTCTCAATATGCAGGATCATGCCGGGTTAGCCCCACTGCATTTAGCCTGCAAACTTGTAAGGAAGAAGACTGTAGAGAAGCTGACGGTGAGGGTGACAACTAATACACTATTCTTTTGTTTGCCTGTACTGGTTTTTTTATTTTATTTTATGGACTCAAGAGGAAAGTTGTAAAACTACATTTTCACATTTCTTTTTATTCCAATGTCAAGATTGTTTTGTTAATTTTTTTAAAACAGAATGTTGCTTGTCAAGTTAAAAGATCCACTTTGGTTAACTTTCAGCAATTAAAAGGGATAGACCTTAATATAAGAACTTTGGAAGGGAAGTTACCACATGAAATGGCTGCCAACAAATCTCTTGCAAAGATGGTGCATAACGCTAGAGATGCCCATCCAATGATAAAGTAAGTGTGAATTTAAAAAAAAAAGTAAATGTAATTAGTGAAATGTGTCTTATTTAGTTTAATTTATTTGTTAAATCAAATTTTTACGTATTCAGTAGAATGTCATATGTTAATGTAAATTGAATAATTTCTCCAAATACGTCAATTTCTGCTGTACGCATGGATTTAGTGAAAAAAATTGACAAGAATAACAAATGTTTATAGACCTAAGCAAATTGCTGAAGTGCTATATTTGTGTATTAAAAATGTCTGCATAAATCATCTTTTTAGGGAAGAAGAAGAACATTCTCCAACTCATTCAGTTAGTGAATTGAGTGCCCATAGTTGGGGTAAAAGTAGTAAAACTACTTTTGACTTTGACAAACTTAACATGAAATTCAAACAGATTAAGGGAGAGAAAAAGCTTTCCACTGCGTGAGGGAAAATTAAGACAGAAGACCGAAATCTAATTTACAAGGATTTCTGAACCCATGAAGAAGAAAAATTATTTTTATTTTTGTTGGAAGGGTGAATAGGCCAGACAAAAGCTGGTTTTATGTTTAGATCATTATATTCACATTTTGTATTATTTTAACATCCCAGACTACTGGTAAAATACACTGTATGTTAATCTGGTTGGTTACAGTGATAGGAGATCCCTGCTTGAGATGTAAATCTGCTTCATTTGCTTTTGCTGATAATTTGTATATGAAGTAAATTGGTAAGAATATTTAAGAATGGCTTTGGTGGCCAACATTTGAAAAAATATATTTCTTTTTTTGTTTGTTTGTTTGTTTGTTTGTTTGTTTGTTTTAATGTTCAAGTGTAGAGGCTCATAATAAGAAAAAGTGGAATGAACAGATATTTGTAAAATGATATTGATGTTCAGTAACATGAGAGAGACATCAAACATCTGAATTAAATTTGTTTTCACAGACATCTTTACACCAATAATTTTTTCCTTTATTCTTTAATCAGAGTATTTATATTGTTAATGTTTATTGACTTATGTATGATGAAGACAATACATATCAGTTGTATATATTCAGGTCATGTTATTCACACACGTCCTTTATCAACTTTGGAGTAAACATTTCATATGTGATATGTATAGTAATAAGGATGAGCAGATTTGATAATCCAAAATATTGCTAATTTGATATAAAAGATTTTAATACAAAAATTGTCAATAATGTCTTGCTTTGAATTATTTTATATATGACGATGTTTTGATACACATTTCCATTAAAACATACATTTACTTATACATGTTGCCCATCTTATGTCAGATCATACCTGTTGATGCCTTGTTGTGTTTTATATATTTACTTTTATATATATATATCAGTTTCTACCACATTCATCACCTTGTACACTGCAAAACAAAATGTACATGCTGTTACCAGTATATGTGCTATTGTTTTAATTCATGAATATAAAATTTGATTTGTCTTATATCCTCTCATGGGTCTTAAAATGAATTTGTTCATTCAATGAAAACAAATAGCTATAATACATGTACTAGTATGTATTTTATGAAAGTTACAGAAAATACAATTTCACTATACAAAATGGTCACATTTCATTTGTTTAGTTTCTTCTAAATTATGAATAACAATTATTTTACTATGTCATGTACGTTAACGTTACATACATGTTTTAACACAAGTAGTACACAGGTATTCATCCTCACCAACTTGATAGTTTATCATGTACTTGGTAGACACTCCCATGCAGTTCATGATTTGATAACTTTTTAATAAAAAGGCCTTGTGTTCATATTAGTTTTTGTCTATTGACTTTTTAATAACTTTGTAACTTTTTTTTCAAAATAAATGCTTTAATTTTTTTTATATGTTGATGCAAATGTATGATTAGCTTGAACGGCAGAGATGAAAGGGATGCACACGTATTTTTTTAACCAAAATTAATACCAAATCACGAAGGTTAATATTGTTTAATTGGTCAAGTTTTTTATATGAAAATATATAGCATTAAAAACCCATGCTTGTTTTGTGTCTTTTAATTATCCCAGAAACTCTTGCACTGGTACAAAACTGCATGACCATCTCCAACTTAAACGTGCTGCCATCTGGCGGCCTCAGTCCAGCACTTCCTGCTGTGACTGTGCTGTGGAATTTAGGCACAGATGTTTGGATTCTACTTATTTCATGCCAACAATGAACAAGGGGAGGTGTAATATCAACAGCGCCAGGTAATTTTACTGAAAATATATCTGAAGCATGAATGTTGTCTTAGCTTTATATTGTGATGTTCTTTATAGAAATTCTGGTGATAATATGATTGTTTACTTTTTGTTATTAAACGGGAAACGGTCGATTTCAGTAGGGGTGCACGTGTTTGGAGCTGGATTGTAAATAAGTGATTTGAGTGGGAAGGGAGGTCAGTGGAAAATACCAAACATCATATAGGAAGACGACCAATACGATGTGATTTTAAATATGTATCCAGTTTTTTTAAGTAATTTAAAATACTGTCATCGTATTGTTTTTTTTTTATTGTAGTATATGGGAGTTTTGTGCTGCTTTTCTCCTAAAACTTTACTGTTTTCATTTTTAGCTTGTACAACGTCAAGCATTTTTCCAACTTAATGGAAACAGTAAAGTTTGAATTATTTTGATGTGGTTGTGAAAATATTCCCTGTACTAACATTTACATCAACAGTATTCTTTACTAAAGTTCAATGATGTCATTTTTTCATGACTCCTCTGAGTAATCATTAATGAGTCTAGAAAGGACAAATATGCCATTTATGCTTGTCTAAATTCACATCTGTTTCATCGCTGTTAAACGACACAGTATGTCAAACACACATGCTTGGCTCAACATGAAAAAATTGACATAATTGACCTAATTGACTGTAATACTAACGCCCTTTAATAGGTTTATTTTACAGCTCTGTCTCTCTTTTTTATATATAATCTACAAATCACATTTGATATAAGTAGAAGTGCACTGTCTTTATTCCAGATTGGCTCACCACACAATCCTTTATGTAGTATATATTTTACCTTTTTTTAATTAATGATTAACTTAGAGATTTATTAAAAAAAGAAATAAAGCCATAGTGTAATTTCCCAAATTATCATTGAAGTCAGGGTAAGAATGTTTATTGGGAAGGAATGAGCCAAGGAGACCTAACAGCATGAATATTATTGTACAACACAAGTGGCTGAGTACAGTACATCCTCTCTGTCCCTAATCCCAACTGCCTATAACTACTAGGGCCACATGCTGCATAAATTCACCTGTGGATAGATCTAATATAAAAATAATAATAATAATAATACCCTGCCCTACGAGAAGACCCTGCTGAGGTGTGAATACTTGAAGGTGTTTGGATATGTCATTAATATTGTTGGCCTACCTGTCAAAATGTTTTATACATGCAGGTATAATTTGCTAGAGAGATCCCCTATTATTTACTAGGTGAGATATTTGTCCCTGAGACAAGATTTAAGGCAATCATTTGCGTGCTACAATATAATGCCTATTATGCAGGCTAAAGTTACAGCTAATATACATTAATGCATCTAGATGTGATTTTGACCTAGATGTTAAAGTGTAAAACTCCCTTCAGCAGCACTACTATTATATTTTTTCTTTGTAGTAGTTTTACAAAAATGTGTAATGAATCTTCTTCTTCTTGATAAGCTAAATCAGACAAGTTAATAATTCACTTTATTTTGTTTCCTTCATTTTTCCATTGGTGCCTTTCTCCCTATTTTCAAACTTGTTGTTATTTCTTGATCCCAAACTCTTAAAATATTATAGTAACTTGAAACTGTTTGTTAACAAAACTTCAGTCATATGAGTGGTCTAACCCAGACACAGAAAAGTCTCAAATTCTCACATGTCCCATTGTGTTATTTTTTTCTGATCTACAAATTAAATCGACATAACAGCACCAGCTGAGTACTTATAAAATAGTACATGCTATTGTCTAATTAGGACAAACGTAGGCACTCTAAGGGTGGAGTGAAAAAATGTTCATTCAAACTGCTCATTTACTACTTTGCTAGGTTTCTCTCAGTGACGTAGTGGTTATAGAAGTGCGTCTAGAATTTCTAAAAGTCACCTGCCATGGACAGAGTTTAAACCTAAGTATACTTGGTAAGTTTGCAGTAATGTAGTTAATAAGCTCCAGTCGCTCATTTTCCTTTGAACACAGCAGGGATGCGAGGTAGATGCCTTGCGCCAATTTAAGTGCATAGAGTGGCATGCTGTTCCGTATGTTTTACAGGGTGGAAAAATGCCAGTAGAGAAACAGCCGCAACCATATGGTGTCAACCGAGTTGATTCTTCCACAGAAACTTCCACTCTGTCATCAGCTGTCGCACCTGGAGGGTCAAACAGTCCATGGTATGGTCATTATGCCACTGGAAGAGGCGAACCACTGGCAGCTCATCTCTATGCTGCCCCATCCATGCAACAGTACATAGTCACTCCTCCATACCTTACTGAGGTAATTTTACTGGCATAGATATTTTTCCCAGCCTCCTTTATGTATAGTTATAATGGTCTGCAACGAACAAAGGCTTTCTCCCATTTCCTGTACTGAATGTAAAAATATTCACTGTGATATCACATTAGTCTAATGTCTTAGACCAGAAATGATATTGAATGAATGGTAGGACATTTTCAGAAATTCTGGTTATATATTTAAGTTCTGTCAAATACACGTATCATGTATAATCAGGTGACATTAAAGGACACTATATAAATTTTTGTTTTAAGATTAATCTAACATGAATACAAACCCATTATTGACATAGTTAAGTTTTCAGCATTTCTTCAATATAACCACTTTGTCGTTATTTACTGAATACCAATAAATTACATGATTGCACGTCAAGGGTTTAGCCAGTGAACTGGACAGCTGTCATTTTGATGATCTGTTCGAGCAGAAGATGCCCATTTCACACCTGAAAGGTTGGATAAAATTCTCAGTAAGCTTCAGTAAAAACCATGAGAAAATGGAATCCCAAAACAGTACCAATACCATAAATGAGTAAATGTTATGGAACAACCCCTCCCCCCCCCCCTTCCACTGCATTTTTGTTTCAGGAAGTGTGTGAATGAGGTGGAATGACATTGTCTATGTAAGTTAAAAGGATAACAACTTCGTTTTGGCCAAAAAA